GCTGTAAATATTAGTCTATTTCACTAAAAAACGAGTAAAAGCAGTCAACAAAGGCGAAAAGAGGCAAACTGTTTGTTCAACTTATAGCTGTTTAGCCACCGAATCCAGGCCGGACGTTGGCTCACCCCACAAAATAGGTAATTCAGCAAGACAAGGAATCCAAAAACCGAATCAGGATCCAAGCAATTGTGCGGACTTCCACACAAATCCTATTTGAGCTTAAAATTTTCGTCCATTCTGGGCATTAATGAACCTGGCGTTTATTAATCCTTTTTTTCAACGATGGTTAGGTTGACTTTCGTACGGATAAGGTTAGTTTAAATATACTTGCTCAAAAAATATTGTTTACAAAGGTAGTGCATTTTTTCTGTGGAGAACCTGTAGCCTTCCAAAACCTCTTTACAGGGAAGGAAAATGTTAAAAATGAAACCGAAAACATGCTAGCCGTAGAAACGTAGAGATTAAGCCTGAGCTTGGCTCGAAGACCGGCCCACGCGTACAAAGACCAAACGAATTTTGGAGTATTCGCCTAAAACCAGGTGGTCACATGAACAAAAAATAACAATAGTCCTTAGCAGTTTTAAAAAGGGACAGTGTTGCAATATATTGTTGTTTGGAAACATACGTAAATGATTTTCGCGTCTGCGCTTGCCTTCGAGATGGACCATAACCTGATTTCTACACTTTATAAGTGATGGCAACTGTTTAGACAGACCCTATGATGTCACCCACATTTTCCGAAAATACTTTAGCAGTTAAGAATGATATGGGCATGATTACGTACCATTTATTTGTGATTAGCTAATAGGCATGAACTACTATGTGTATGTGGACACATGATGTCTTGAGCATTCTTTATCACATGTCCGTCGCTTTGCGCATGGACTATCCTTCGTGTCAAATTGAGGCTTAACAATTCTCCTTATATTAAAAGGGCGTTCAGTCCAGCTTGATGGTTTCATTCTCATTATGGAAGGCCGCAGCTTGCTATGATGCATCTGTCATATTTTAGTGATTTCATATTTACAGCTATGGAGGAAACTGCGGTGCTCTTTTATATGGCCGTCGGGAATTTGGCGGATACTATGGTGTTCGCCTTGCCCTTAAACACGTATAAAGGCCTTTGAATCAAGAGATGGCTTAATCCGTTATATTCTCTCTTGTAGTTATAATGCATTTAAAGACAAGTTTTATGCAGAGTGGGGCAAAAACAAAAGTAGATTTGATCCTATTCCAAGCAGAAACGACTTTTGTTTAAATTGTGCTAATGAAGCCTAAAAAAAGCTTCTAAAAAAGGCAAAGAATGAAATATGGAAGAATGAGTCAGAAAATGGAAGGGCATAAATTTCCAAAACAACTTTTGAGGACCGTCAATTAACTTAGCTTTATATCGACCCTTTAAAAGAAGACCTAAAGCAGGATCCAAAAATCCCAAAAGGATGTTCAACAACTTTTCAAGTTTGAATCAATTTTATAAGTCGCTATTGGTTCAATCGCGGAGAGACTTGAAATGATATTTAAAAACCCGTTTGTGATAAAAATTGGCAGCCATGCATCATGTTGGGCATGGATAGAGGCTACTGACAATTTGTTTAGGCAGGGAGTGTTGTCAATTTTAACAATCGCCAAGGCTCAAATGCGCCGTGTTCGTTTATGTGTACAGCCTTCCATTTGTTGTTCTGCTGCCAGCAAATCCAATTAAACTTATTTTTTGCAAAATTTTTAACTAACTTGGCTAAATTTTTTTTGTGCTTATTGTTTTAACTGATAACTTTTCATGGCGTAATGGCGTCATTAGAGCGCTCTTCGTTCGTGCCCGCACTTCAGAAATTTTACATCGTAAATTAGTCCCTGCTTTGTAATAATTTTTTCCAGTTGTTTTTAATTGGTTCTCTTCAATAGGTCCTTAAGATCGTGTTGTCCTCTATTATCCTGCTCTTTTCTTGCTAAGCCCAGCCAATTGGCTCCGCCCCTTTATCCGCCGGTTTAGTAGCAAGATGAAGAGGATTGCTAGAAGAGATTCGCCTCCGCACAAGAGGTATAGACGCGACCCTGGATCGAACGGTAGAGATTCAAGTAGTTATAGAGGCTATGGGAGTGTTGGAAATCGGTCGAGACCCATGCAGCAGTCACCAGTTTATGAGAGGCGTAATCCTCGACCTGGGAGTTCGTCTTTCTCTCGCTCACCACGTGAGTATGGCGATTCCGGGCGTCAAAGCGGTTCGGGGAGTTACCATTCTGGGCCCCCAATTCGTCGATTTCCTCATCGTTCGTCCGGAAGCAGGTAAATAATTTGATTTTGTTTCGGCCTTCGTCTACAACTTGCGGACTGCACTCAAACATGGATCTTTCACTAATGCGTCGTGACTTCTCGAAATGAAATTGGTGATCACAATCATAAGCGAATTTGTCGATATGGTCGGATGCTGGACTTAAGGTCCGCTTGTTTTCCCCTCTCCTTCTGTTCAAATAATTAAGCTGCGACTGTGATAAAATATCTTGCTCTCCTCACTCGCTAAATTATGGTGCTGAATGTTCTGCATGAAGCGCTAAACGTGCCTTCAGTTTTTGCCGTGGATGAACTGTTCACTCGTTGTTTGGGAAGCGCTTCCATTTGATGGTCGCACCTCAAATGAAATCTTCCATTGTCTGGCCTTCTGCTCTTCAAGTGACAATTTAGCTAACACCCAAACTTTCGTTAGTACCCTCAGGAGTCCCCATATCTTCTTGCGCAACTCTTATCGGGAACCCCTAATTGTAAACTTCCTAATAATTTCCTGATCTGGAATGGCTTTATTCGGCCCATCAATACAAATTATCACTTTTTGTGCGCTAGGGAGTGAATTCCATCGCTGGAGTGAATTCCTCGCATGGTTTTCTTGGGAGCGTCTGATGATTCTCTGTGTTGTGTATTTTCCTTCCTACCTTATCATTTTCTCCCCATTTCTTGCATTATTGGACACGACATCTCGATTCCTCCAGGGGAATACCCAAGTTTAGACTTAGCCAGTTCTCTTAGAATGATTTAAAGTAAGTTATTGGCGTCGAAAATTGGATGGTGTTTCATATTGCTAGTTTTCTGAATGTTTAAAACTCGAGATAAATTCTGATAATGATGCATGAGAACTTTCTAGTTGTAATTATTAGTAATACGCATAAAATGACCTCTGGGACGTTGGGTAAGTTATGTTTCCATTCTGTTTTGCGATTTGCATCGCTTAAGTTTGCTCTTCTGGACCATCAGTTTGACTTACCTTTTTCATTTTTAGTGGGAACATGCGTTCCTCCGATGTGTACAGCCAGGGAAGTTCACACTCAGATCGGTTTCTTCAAGGTTTGGTACCCGGCGGAGAATTAGTCGGGCCTTCAGGCACGAAAATCGATCCTGTTTTTGCAGCAGCAGCTGCGGCTGCCCTGAACGCTACACTTGCCGCTCCTTCCGTCTCCTCCTCGAATATGTACTCACATAATTCATCTGCTACCGTTGCTGCCGTGGCAGCTGCTGCTATGAATGCCGCTGCAATCGCAGCTGCACTTGGTGGTGCCTCTAACCAGTCAAACGGTGGTCCAGGATCGAATTTCCAGCTTCCTGGAATGCCTTCTCAATCAACACTCAAGGGGAGTAGTAGATCACCAACTTATGAACGTCGCGGTGGCGGCTATCGCGGTGAAAGGCTTCGAGAACGTGACTCTCCAAATTACAGAAGCGAAATGCCGCGTAGAACTTCCAGCACCCTTGGAGGTGGCCATCCCAGCCCTGAAGACGATCCATCAGCTACTCGTACTCTCTTTGTGGGCAACCTTCCTCCGGACATCCGTATTTCGGAGCTGCGTCAGATTTTTGACGTATATGGTATTTTAGAGGATGTGGACATTAAGCGTCCCCAATCTTCAAATTCCAATGAGCCTGCTTACGCATTTTTGAAGTACGTCAATGTCAGTATGGCCTATAGAGCCAAATTGGGGATGACTGGTAAGCGGATAGCTGGCTACATTTGTAAAATCGGCTATGGCAAAGTAACACCAACGCGTTGTTTGTGGGTTGGCGGTTTGGGACCTTGGACAAACTATCCCATGTTCGCATCATTGGTGGAACGGTTCTCTCGCCCAAAGAAGATTGTTTGGCCGTCGGGGAAGGGCTATGCTAACATACTTTATCATTCAACCGAGGCAGCTGCTTCAGCCGCCAACTTACTTCGTGGCTATCCTCTAGGGACTGGAAACCATCGCCTTCGCGTTGATTTTACTGATGAGTCGCACATGCTTATTTCGGGAACTATAGATTCTCTTCGGCGTGGACGACCTGGTGGAAGTGGTGCAAGTGATCGGGCCTACCGTCCTAGGCGTGAATCCAACCGACATCCCCGTTCTGTATCCCGGTCACCTGTCCGACCACCGAGTCGGAGGACATCCTCGTCGAACACATCTTCTGCAACTAAAAGTGCTACACCTTGCCCCTCCTCACGGTCTAGGTCCAGATCTCCCTCTCCCACAGTAGCTGTCCCCGAAGACATTTCGCTGGAAACGGCCTGTAGTATTGAGGAGGTTGCTGCATGTCTAGCCGGGCCTGTTTGGAAGGCAGTATTCGTGCTAAAGAAGAGTAACTTTTCCTGCCGTTTGCATGCAGTGTCAGGAGACTCGGCACTTGCCGATCAGTTGTTTCCACGTCAACAGCCTAAACCCCCGCAGACACCGCCCGACGATGAGGATGATAATGGAGGCGGAGCGGTAGGGCCGGTTGTGGGTCGAGGTGAGGAAAAGCGATCTGCTGGCTCACCAGAAAACAATAATAATAGTTGTGCCGTAGAACCACCTTTGTTGCGAATCAGTCAGCGGATGAAGATGGACCCAGCGAAATTGGAAGATGTGCGGAAACGCATGAAGTCGGTGGGGACTAGTGGTTATTGTGTTCTGTTAGCCACCGAAGCCGCAAATGATACGATTGCATCTGCTGGGGCGGAAAATCATAACCGCCCGCTACGAGATCTTATCAACTACCTTGCGAGCAAAGAGGCAGCTGGTGTTGTGCTGATGAGTAGTGATCAAGAACATCAACAGCAACAGCAAGGTGTCGAGGATCAGCAGAGATTGGAAGGCGAACCCTCCGGAGTCCTTCATGTTCTCCCTCCAGGGGAGTTTGCGGTCTCCTTGCTGGTAGAAGGAGGAGCATCGTGTTTGCGTGAGAAACGAGTGGAACCGGGAGACAAGTATCTCGTCATTCTTTTGCTGAAGAACTATGGTCTTGTGTAAAGTGCGAGAATTTGTATGTTTAGCCGAAAGATGATAATAGTTTATACCTTGATAGTTGTTTTTTGTTGTGATTTGGCTTGTGCTCTCTACTTTTTACCAGTACGCGTTAATACGCTTCTGTCGTTAGTTTCATTTTATTGTGGGAGAGGAAGTTAATTTGAGTTAAACGCATATTTTAGTCTTGGTAGTTCATGTTTTGAAAAGCTTTGACTGGGGGTCGTTCTCTTGAATCATCCTTAGTTTAATTAGCTAGACTGACTTGCTGGTTATGCGGACTTATGAGATGAGATTGTTTTGGGCGGCTCTGCGCTGAGTAGTTGTTAAAATGTATGGTTACTATTTCCTTAAAAGGACAAATTCGGTTCGACCTCTCGTTTGTTGCTTGGTTGCTGCATCTGTGTCTTGGTTCGGGTTTTTATCTCATGCTCCTTG